GCAAACGCTTCCCGAACAAATAAAAGGAGCCACCCACAGAGATCGCGTCCCCATGCGCTCCTGTCATTCATTTCTTTAATAGTCACTCAACATCCGCGACGTGCCAAACACCGCGTTAGACGTCAAGGCAGCAACAGTTAAAAGGCTCTGCCTGGCGACGTTTGGATCCTGCGGGGCGGACCGAGAAGAGACAAAGCATCCCAGAAACATAGTCACAGCCGCGCCTGATGTCCCCCAGGGGACTTGGGAACAAACAGTCGCGCACGGGGACTCGGAGCGGGTCCCGGCGCCTGTTTCGGTTTCCCCAGCGATAACGCCAAGAGCCTGCTGGGGATTAAAAGGCGGGTCGTGACGGCAACGCGGCTCCCGAGGGTCCGGTTTTCTCTTTCGAGCTCTGACAGCCAAGCGAGGCGGGAGGAGAAGCCCCGGGTCACACGCGAGGAGCCCGAAGCGCGCAGTGTTGTCGCAGCCGCGAGCACCCCGGAGGGGCTGCGAGCACTGACAGCCGGCCCGCTCGCCGCCTCCCTCACCCACCCGCCCCACTCACCATGGCGTCGGAGACGGCGCCGCCCCGGAGCCCCGCGGCCCCAGTCCGCCGAGCTTCGCACCTCGCAGCCTCAGGCCAGGACGACCCTCACGAGAACTGAAGATTCCAACTGCCCTCAGGGACTGACGTTTTTGGGGGAAGGCTAAACGGGAAGGACCGGAAGTGAGCGACCGGAAGTGAACGTGGGAATAGGCCCGGGCAGAAAAGACCGGGACGCTCCTGGGCGTGGCCTTCATGGAGCGGCGCGCGTGTGCGGGTGTTGAGGGAGGGGAGGGTGGTAAGACTGCGCATGCGATATAGGACGGGCGCGATTGGACTAGCCTGGGAGGCCGGCTTTATTCTCGCGATAATAACTGTGCAAGCTCTCGCGTGAGTTATTGGCAATGCGGAAGCGGGGGACGCTGCGTGCGAGCGTGCGGGAGGGTGCCTGGGAGTCATTGTCGCTGCGCTGCTCATCCCGGCGGCCCCGATCTTGATTGTTATGTGAAAGCAGATACCCCGTTTTGGAAATTACTCGCCCTCATCTCCCTGAAAGAACCGAGGCCGCGCGGCCGCGTGGGGCCGCCGGAGGCACAGCCCCCGGGTCTCCGGGCGGCGGGCGCTGCGACGCGTCCGGGGCCAATCGGAGCGGGAGTCGCGCGCTCCGGGGGCCGGAGCCGGCCAAGGCTCGTCTCCCGGAGTCGCTCGGCCTTGCAGGGCCGGACTGGTGCTTGGGGACACCCTCCTTGAAGAACTTAAAGTCTGCCGGAGAACCTGACCGCGGGGGGGCGCCCCAGCTGCAGCCAGGAGGCCCGAGGCTGCAACGGGAGCGGGTGACGTGCGGTTGCGTATCAGGACGCGTACTCGGGCACCAGGATGTCGTGCCTGAAGGTGACAAGGACAGCCAGTTTCCCTTCCAAGTGTTAAGTGGGCCTGTGGCCACCCCGGTTTAGACTCCATCTTCCCACGTCTCTGGGGGCTGGGTTTGGGGTCAAACAATGGCCAGGGGGACCGGAGTGGACACCCTTTGCCCGTTGCCCGTCTCTGCTGAGATCAAGTCACGACAGGTGCAGCCAGCTTGACCTCAGAGCTAGTGTGAGGACGCAGGCGCCCCTTCCAGCTGCACAACACTGAGCTCTGTTAAGATGAGAAAAATAAACGGATGTCTTGTTAACGTCGCTGCATTTGGGGGGAGCTTTTCTTACAGCGGCTCAACCTTTCCCTTTAAATACCTGGCCCCAAATTTGTGGAGTTATTCCTCACTCCGATGAGACATTGTCAGTATTTCCATACGTTTATCCATTACATCCCTGACTCGAGGGTGCAGAGATCATATACGACAGCATTCAGAAATCATGACCTATGGGCCGGGCGCGGTGGCTCAGGCCTGTGATCCCAGCACTCTGGGAGGCCGAGGCGGGTGGATCGCTTAAAGTCAGGAGTTCGAGACCAGCCTGGGCAACATAGCAAGACCCTATCTCTACTAAAAATAGAAAGAAGTTAGCTGGACAACTAAAAATATATAGAAAAATTAGCTGGGCAAGCTGGCTCATGCCTGTAATCCCAGCACTCTGGGAGGCCGAGGCGGGTGGATCGCTGGAGGTCAGGAGTTGGAGACCAGCCTGAGCAAGAGTGAGACCCCCATCTCTACTAAATAAAGAAAGAAATTAGCTGAACAACTAAAAATATATAGAAAAAAAATTAGCCAGGCATGGTGGCGCATGCCTGTAGTCCCAGCTACTCGGGAGGCTGAGGCAGGAGGATCGCTGGAGCCCAGGAATTGGAGGTTGCTGTGAGCGAGGCTGACGCCACGTCACTCTAGCCCGGGCAACAGAGTGAGACTCTGTCTCAAAAAAAAAAACAAAAATATCACTTATGCTGATGGCCCTGGCGTCCACTCCCGCTATATACCAAAACCTGAGTTCCATTTCCAGAACTCTCTGGCTCTTGGGAAGGCAGCTGCATCCCAGCTTTAAGAGTGGCACTGGGAGCGAGGTTGAGCCAATCCATCAGCCCCGTGTCCTTAGTCACCACTGTTGGGCTTAAGACTCAAGCCCAGTGACCTAGTCAGAGTCTCAGTAGTTGCTTAAAGTGCTGGACGGAAGCTACCCTGCTGGATGTCAGCACAGATTAATACACAGAAGCTACCGTCGGCCACTTCAGGAATCAGGAGCCAAGACCTAGTGTTTGGTGACATCAGTGAGCTGATGAGCGAGGCCTATCACTTCGTCTTCAGTTACACGAACCAATAAATCCCTCTAGAGTTGAAACTTCTAAGAGTCAGACTTACCTTGCCACGATCTGCTGAATGGCCTTCCCTTCTCTGCTCACACTGATCCTGTTCTTGCTGCTCCTTTGGCCCCGTAGCACCCTTCCTGCACCCCCGCCACCTGCCCCATCTGCCTAGGTGGCGCTCATGGTTTCAGTTTTAACCAACTGTATGCATAATCTGGTTCCACCACTTAGGTGGCCTTAGAGGACTCACCCAATTGCAGTAATTCTTGCTCTGTTGTGAGCTTGGCCTAATAGTCTTTATACCTTTCTGTTCTCATTTTTCCTCTTCCACGATACTGAGACATTTGCCTTACGTTCATGGTTTTAAAAGAGAGATTGCAGAAAAAGTGCTCGGAACGGATCAATGGAAAGTTCTCGATTCGTTGAAAAACAAAAATCCCACACTCTGCAGTCAGATTTATTAGGAAGCCTAATCTAACCCCTACATACAGGCAGCTGGACCAGGCTCAGGGCCTTCTATAACTTTTTTTTTTTTTTTT